GTTGTGCAGAGTCCCAAACTCTTTTGCTATCACCAACTGAGCTAATCATTTTTGTGTGTGAAATAAATCAGTCTTTTCTCTCTCTATCTCTTTACGTTGTGCAGAGGCCCAAACTCTCTTCTCTCTCTCTCTCTCTCTCGATGTTGTGCTGAGTCCCAAACTCTTTTGCTATCACCAACACGGCTAATAATTTCTTTGTATGCAATAATTCAATCTCGGACGTATCGTGGGCAAATTGTGTTCGGATGTCTGTGCTTGATTGGTCTCAATAGTCCATAATGCCTGCTGTCGTTGATTAGACAACATTACAGGTCTAGCAATCGAATTATCAAAGTAAAAAAATATATATAATATATTTGATGGTCTGGACATCTGATATGACCGGAAGACAGACTCGGATGCTCCGAGAATTAAAGTGCACTCGACTGCATGTTTTGCAGATGATCTATATGAGTAATCGATATCAAATGTATTTTTTGATCTCTCTCAAGTAATAATCGACAAGAGTAAGACAATCTTAATAGACAGTACTGACTTCGATTCTCATGCTTAAGTTAATATTTTTATATTGAATTAACGAAGAGGAATCTTTTGTGAGATTTTTTTCTTTCCATTTTTAGAATATTCCTGTACATGACATGGATCTTGATTGGATCTTACCGGACTGTCACGTGTCGATCTGGACTTATTAAAATCGAATTTAGATTTGAGACCTAATATGGATAGAAAACGTGTTTGGAAGAGGGAATTGGGAGAGCATAGATCCCGAGAAGTTATAATACGCAATTGTACCTACCAAGGGACCAAGGCCCAGGCCCAGGCCCAGACCCAATCAAGGATGGTGGCTCTCGCACCCCAACTCCGGAACGTGGGGCCCATCCATCCTGCACCTGTGCTTGACCTCTTCCTCTGAAAGGGCCCGTCAGGCTACACGGTGCGGTAAGTACGTGTCGCTTGCTTACCTGTTCTATGGTTTCATAGTGGGCCCCGGCGGTCACCGGACCCGCAGGCGAGCCCGGTGAAATTAGTGTTTTCCGATAAAATGAAATGCCATTTTGAAATTTGAAGAACAAAATTAAAATTCTGACCCACGTAGCCGTTGCAGATGCAGCCAACGGTCTTCTTCCTTCCTTTCATATCCCAATCTCATTTATATTTCCTTTTATATATATATATATAGAAACGAATAAAACCCAAGAAAGAAAGAATCCCTAATGGCGGACGAGGAGAGATTGAAATCGTCGGAGGAGGAGGAGGAGATCAAGATCGCTGTCCTCTCCGTACTCAAGAAGGACACCATTCTTAAGCGCATCTTCCTCAACGTCTCCCCTCCCCCGACGCCGCCGCCGACGACCGGCGGCGACGCCGTCCGTCCCAGCCGTGGAGGACGAGAAGACGACGACGGGCAAGTGGTCCTCTTCGGTCGGCATCCGGATTGCCACGTCGTCGTCGACCACCCCAGCATCAGTCGCTTCCACGTCGCCGCCCGCCTAGTGCCCCTCCGGCGGAAGCTTTCCGTCACCGATCTCTCCTCTGGTGCGTTCTCCTCCTGCAACCCCGGTCTTTTCTTCTCGTCGTTGTTCGTTGATTTGACTCGCTTTTGTATGCAGTTCATGGGACTTGGGTTTCGGGTACCAAGATCCCGCCCAACGTGGCCGTCGACATGGTGGATGGCGACACTCTGAGTCTCGGCGCCTCGACGAGGGTTTACAGGCTTGAATGGGTCTCATCGAGCCGCGCGCTTGAGATGGAGAACCTATTGGAGACACTGGCTGAGGGCAAGGAAGAAACAAATCAGGTTTTGCGATCTGTTCCTTCCTATTTGATTGGTTTCTTCGCTGTCCACACAACTGTTTGCTCAAGTCCCCATCTTGCAGGACGATTCTGGAGACTTGAGGAGTAACACCAAGGATCCGTTGGCTGCCGTGATCCCTTCGGCACCGCCTTTGCTGGAATCTATCAATCTGTCGTCTCTGCCAGTGGAACAGGAGCAGCACAGCCCACTACCGGAAGCAGAGAACTCGTGCTTCTTTTCTCCAGTGCCGATGCTGGAATGTGATGCGCCTTTGATGCCAACCACCGTGGAGAATTCGAGTACTAAGGTTTCATCTGCTACTAAGCAACCATCCGAGAGGAGGGAGCATCTGAGCCCGGAAAGGTCCGAGGCGAGGAGCATGCCATCGAGCCTCTTGTCATTGAGGAGAAAATCAATGTCCGTTGGCTTCCTTCGGACCCTCACGGCAAGGAGAACGGAGAGACTTGGAGAAGCGAGAGCAGATACCGACGTCCAAGAAGGCACTGGAAAAGACAACTACACTGCCTGTGAACAAGCCAAGAGTGAGGGAAGACTATGCAGGGTATTATTCGACAATCTGTGTGAAAATGAGCAAGATCGAGAGGAATGTTTTGCTTCAGATAAGGAGAATGCGACTCCAATGTCAGGCTGCCGGAAGACCAAGAGGAGCTACAGAGTCCTGCAAAACTCTGCATGCGTTGCAGAACATTCTGATGCCGAGGTAAATACGGCTTGCTCTGCTGACAAGGAGAACTGGAAGCATGAAGTACTGAGTGACTTGAGGCCTAGAAATCCCACCTCTGAGAGCTCCGTAAGCAGTAGCAAGGGAGATGTAACTTCTGGTTCAGATCACAAAATCTTGAAATCGATTACTTCTGCAGCGAACTTGAAGAAGATGTCGCATTCAAGCATCATCAGAGATTCTTCAGATGTGTCAGAAGAATTGCTCTACAGTGACAAAGTCAACCGGACACCAGAATCCTGTAAAGATATGAAATCAAGAAGAGTGGTAGGTGGAAATCTTGCGAAGGCCGGAGATAATGACGGTGCACTTCCTTCAGACAAGAAGGAATTCTCATTCAGTAGCCAAACTAGAACTGAGGAGGCGATTGCGAAGAAAAGAGTTGAAAGGATTCCATTTCAGCCTGTGCTAGAAAATTCCGCCTCGGAAAGCAAATCTTCTGCCTGTAACTGCGCCTCAATCAAAGATGATCTGAGTGTAAAGTGCGAATCCGATTGCTCTCCTGTAAGTTTTTAGTAAGCGTTCTTAGTTCTTCCGTCGGTTTGTCAGTCAAGTGTTCGACCGAGTCCATTTTCCTCGCAGAGACGATCTATGGGCGCAGTGCTCCATAAAGCAGAAGCCAGGAAGATATGGAACGTCGTGGTCGACGCAGACTGTTTCCTAGATGAAGAATCAAGGAGGTCTTTGCAGCTTCTTGAAGGCCTAAAAGGGACTCACCTCATCGTTCCAAGACTTGGTATGTCGGCTCCATTCCTCCCTCGTTCCAATGTAACATCTTTAAGCTGCTCAAGTTCCTCTGTTGCTCCCTACTTTTCAGTCATCAGGGAACTCGACTGCCTGAAGCGGCGCGAGAGCCTTTTCGGCGGTTCCACGAAGTTGTTGGCATCCAAAGCGCTGCAGTGGATAGAAGGGTGCATGGTGAAGACAAATTGGTGGATTCATGTTCAGAGCTCAGCTGAGACAATGACAGTGGCACCGACTCCCCCTGTCTCACCTCGAACACTATCCCTACCCGAGATTGATTCCCCCAGTGCAGAGGACCACATCCTGGACTGTGCACTGTCGTTCAAGAAAGCCAAAAGAGATGGACAACTCGTCCTCTTATCCAACAGCATCACGCTAAAGATCAAAGCCATGGCAGAGGTGAATGGAGCTCCCTGTTCTCTCGAGCGAATGTTTTCCGCAGCTGAGACTCGGTTTTGCTCTGGTTGCAGGGGTTGCCATGCGAGACACCGAAGGAATTCCGTGAGAGCCTCGTGAATCCATTCTCGAAGAGGTTTCTCTGGCCGAACAGCAGTCCGAGGGGATCAACTTGGTGTTGCTCGGATGATGTAGGCATGTTCGAGAAATGTTTCCGCCACCAACATCATCCGCCTGTGAGAAAAGTCGGCAGAGCGGCTGAGGCCGTCAAAGGACTAAAGCTGATACTGCTCCATGGTTGCCACCAGCATGCACATATGAGCTCCAAGTAAAAGAAGGCATCAGTTTCCATATTTGGTAAGCGGCTTAACGGATCCAATTTCCTATCCATTACTTGGATTGGGCCCGGATCCGGTTAGGCATGACGCCATCTCGATGTCTTTCTGCTTCCTTTATAAGAATACACATTTGTATACTCTGTCTGTTTTTTGTCACAGCAGTATCTCAAATTTTGCGAGTTACTTTTATGATCTGACACAAAATGAATTATATATATGGTATAATTAAGGACCAGTTTCTGCATGTGTTTCTACTTTCTTTGCAAGTTGGGCACTTGATAATGGCATAAAATTAAGTTCTGCTGCAGTGTGTTTGATGATGGTTCTAATGATTGATTCTGCACAACAAAATTGTGTTGGTGAGGATGAAATTGCATAGATAATTGTAAGTATTTGCTTGAGATTTGCATCTTCTTCATGGATCAGCAGTACTCATCAAATCATTGCCACAAATCTGATACTGGTTCCCAATCAGTCTCTTTGGCTCTTCAAGGGGAAGAGAAGAAGGTAGGAAAAAACTTAGAACAGTGGTGTTCTGCCACGGGAACAATGAGGACATCTCTGGGCCATTAGATTTCAGGAAATCGAAAGCTGATCAGTGACCATAGAATTTGTATGAACAGGAGAGCATGATAAGGTAGACCAAAAGCATGAGACTAAGAGACAAAGCAAATGCCTCCAAGAAAACAATGCAAGAACTAGAGGCGGCTGGTTAGCTACTGTAGCCTCTCTTATCACCCACTGCATCCACCATTCATATCCTAAAGCCAGTCTCCACCTCACAACTCCTATCCTATCCTCCCTCCATTTGCTCACCACCTTCATTTAAACTATACACACCATTCCCCTCAACCCTTCAAGAGAGAGAACTCTGTGTTCAGGGAGAGCTACCGCTCAGGGCCGACACCAGGTCACTCTACAGATGGCCTCAGCTACTCTCCTCAAGTCCTCTTTCCTACCCAAAAGGTCAGAATGGCACGCAGCTGCGCGCAAATCCTCCAACCCTCAACCGGTGGCAGTCTCCTTCACCGTCCGCGCCGGCGCCTACTCCGACGAGCTCGTCAAGACCGCGGTAACGCCACCTACTATGTTCTATGTTCCGTATTAAGATCAAGATTGAGCACCCTTCACGATCTGAAGTACCGAATGCTACATGCAGAAAACTATCGCGTCGCCAGGGAGGGGGATACTCGCCATGGATGAATCCAACGCCACCTGCGGCAAAAGACTCGCATCAATTGGGCTGGAGAACACAGAGGCAAACCGACAAGCTTACAGGACCCTCCTTGTCTCAGCTCCTGGTCTGGGCCAGTACATCTCTGGGGCAATCCTGTTCGAGGAAACTCTCTACCAGTCAACTACGGATGGTAAGAAGATGGTCGATGTTCTTGTTGAGCAAAAGATAGCGCCAGGGATCAAAGTTGACAAGGTGAGCACTCGATCTTTGGCAACACGTATGGAATTGTCATATTGTTTTACTCACATCTAGGATTGTGTTCTACTTCCATCCTGTTTGTGTTATCAGGGTCTGGTGCCACTTACTGGCTCAAATGATGAATCATGGTGCCAAGGATTGGATGGCCTCGCGTCGCGATGTGCAGCATACTATCAACAGGGAGCTCGCTTTGCTAAATGGTAAGATACACTGTTGCATCCTGGAATTTAATTGTGTGCATGTTTGGAGGCCATGCTTATGTCCGGCTTGTTGCAGGCGTACAGTGGTCAGCATTCCAAACGGCCCATCAGCTCTCGCAGTGAAGGAAGCTGCTTGGGGTCTGGCTCGATACGCTGCCATTGCTCAAGTACATCTCCTTCACTTCCATTCTTTCATCATTATAGGATCAGTGAATACAACTCCTTTCAGTATGCACACGCTACGAGCAGAAAGCAGCCTCGACTAATCTTCTCGTCTTGTTTGCAGGACAATGGCCTGGTTCCAATTGTGGAGCCTGAGATACTGCTCGACGGAGAGCACGGGATCGATAGGACGTTTGAGGTCGCACAGAAAGTTTGGGCTGAGGTCTTCTTTTACTTGGCTGAGAACAACGTCATGTTCGAAGGTATCCTCCTCAAGCCAAGCATGGTCACCCCCGGCGCCGAGTGCAAAGAGAAGGCCACACCGGAGCAGGTCGCCGACTACACCCTGAAGCTCCTGCACAGAAGAGTCCCATCTGCTGTTCCTGGCATTATGGTACGCAGCACCACCATGATCATCTTGTTCGCTTCTCTCATAGAGGTGATGATTGATGCCCATTCACCTGTAAATGTTTTGGCGAACAGTTCCTCTCCGGTGGACAGTCGGAAGTGGAGGCAACCCTGAACCTGAATGCCATGAACCAGAGCCCCAACCCATGGCACGTCTCCTTCTCTTACGCGAGAGCTCTGCAGAACACCTGCCTGAAGACATGGGGAGGAAGACCGGAGAACGTGAAGGCTGCGCAGGATGTGCTCCTAGTCCGGGCCAAGGCCAACTCGCTCGCTCAGCTCGGGAAGTACTCAGCCGAGGGCGAAGCTGCAGAAGCTAAAGAGGGGATGTACGTCAAGAACTACAGCTACTGAGAACCCAGCAAAGCATGATATCTTCTATATCTCTGTGGATTTTGATTACCGGTCTGTTCAAGGAAGACGACGATCGATGTAGTTGAATGTTTAAGCCTGCATAAGACTGCATTTGGTATTAAGTATCGATTGAATACAGCTTGTTAGCTGCGTCTGTTGCAAACTCTATTACATGCTACACAAGTATCAGTGGCTTTGACGTGAAGTGCGTCAAAAAGAACGACAAAACATGCGAACATTATGATTGATTGGTACGAGTTCCTCATCAATCGCAAAGGTATCCAAGGTTGCATTGCGATAATAATACAAGTACACATATGCATGTCATCTTACGAGGTACATGTAACCAGGCTCACCGACCAACATTACCACGTGCACGTACCCATACTCACCGACCAAATTAGTGCTGCCATGCTCGTAAAGAAGTACAACATACGAACAATACAGGAGAGATGTGCGATCGAGTTTCCCGCCTTATCGCAACTCAATCGGCGGTTCCCGCCATCACAGCCAATCGCGAGAGGAGCTTCCAAAACAAATCATTCACCGTCCATTCTTATATATAGGAATCCCGTGTGTCTCATCTTTGCCGTTCCCTCCTCGCGATCGTTTGAAAACGAGAAGAGGGCTTGCCATGGAGATGCGCGAGGAGAAGGGAGACATGGGAGGGTGGGAGACCCCCAAGCGAGGGGACTGCCGGATCCCGGTGGCGATCCGTTGCCCTCCGCCGCCGAGGAAGAAGAAGAGGTGTCCCACCGCCGCGGGGGCGCTCGGGAAGCGGCGGGGTCCGCCCAGGAATGGTTACTTCCACCCGCCGGACCTTGAGGCTCTGTTCGCGCTGGCGTCGAGGAGAGAGGCTTGCGCTTGATAAGTCCGGAGAGGATGTAGTGAGTTAGGGTTTGTTTCGCTGTCAGGAGTAACCTTCACCTGTATGTATACTCCTTTTTCCTTTTGCTTGGTATTGGTAGGATAGTAGCAGCTAAGGTGTTTGTTGATTTCTCTGTTGCTATTGGGCTCTTCACTCATGGTTTGTTGCTCATTGATCTTCTTGTTCTGTATATACTGTTTCTTTGTTTGGACTGATCTGAAGCAAACTTTCTTATGTATCATCAAGCTAATTATTATTCTTAATTACTTACATTTAGTATTTCTATCTTTATATTTTTTTTAAATTATATTAAGAATTTTATATTTTTTTTAAATTATATTAAGAATTTTATATTTATAAAAAGAAAAAAATTTATTTTATTTTTTTACGTCATAAATTCTATTGACGAAAATATCATAGGATTTAATATTACTAATTCTGTTTCATTTTGATTTATCATGATATTTAATATAAAAAAGAAAATTAAATATTTTATTTTTTATTTATTAATATAAAAATAACACCCCCATCAGTGTCTCTAAATTATTCTTATGGCCCTGTAATTTTGATGAGAGTTAGATGAGGGCAATTCCAGAAGCTTCGCAACCACCTGAGGCCATGCCACCCCTTTCGCCTCGCCAGACGCTTTCGGCTTCTCTTCCTCCGGTTTAAGCGAAGTCGGGGAAGGAATGGAGAGTCTCTCAGGGTTTCGTTGATCGTCGTGGCGATGTCCACCTTCAGCGGCGACGAAACCGTCCTCGTCTTCTCCTGTGAGCTCCCGATTCCTCCCCCTTCCCTTTCACTCCATCGAAACTCTTGGTGGTTTCACCTTCTGGTGTCGTTTGCAGGCAAGGGGGCGGCGTACGGGATGGCGTCCATGGGCGTGACGCGACTGGAGCCCGTGATGAAGTCGATCATGCTCGTGGTCAGTGCTCGGGATCTACGGATTGATTATCGCTGTGATCATAAGCACCAGGAACAACCCACAAGGCGAAGTCGTATTACCTCTTTGATGGCTATGCTCATCTCTTCTCTGGGCTTGCTGGTTCGTCTGCGGGCATGGCGATCGGCATCGTCGGCGACGCTGGTGTTCGGTATAACTCTTTAGATCTCTCTCTTTATATATATTTCTCTATACACATACACATATACACCTTTCAATTGCCGAACTACTCATGGATTGAATGTGATTCATGATTCTTCTTGGTGAAGTTTGACTCGTTACTAAAGTTAGATATCCCAAGGCACTTGTATTGAAATCTGAATTGTCACATTCGTATCTGTTGCTGAATAATTGACTAGATAATTTGATGTGGCTGAGTCATTATTCTGATGATGCCTGTACTCTTTTGTTTCTTGCTTTCCTTTGTTATACAAGTGATTACTTTATGTTGGATTCAGCTTTCTTTGAGTGAAATGGACAATGGACAATAAGGAGACTAAGGAGCCATGCTGGTAGATTATGGTTTAAGCTTATGGGAAGCTTTTCTTTTTTGATGAATCACAATATGTGATTGAATTTTTATGTTTCTTGTTGTCTTGGAATAGTATTTTCTTTATGATTGAGAAATTTTAGTCCATTCGAGCTCCTGTCAGGGTTGTCAATTAATGTGATATATATATATATATATATATATATATATATATATATATATATATATATATATATATATATATATATATATATATATATCATCTATCTTTGACCACTTCCATTGCATACTTGGTTTATTGCTTCATTGCTTTTCTTTGTGTTAGAGTAATTTATCCTTTAAAAGATGTATACAATGTATATCTGTGTAGCAATTGACTAAAATTATCCGATTCATGTAATTGTGATTTTTTACATTTTCTTTCTATGGTCAAAATATCTATGGTTTACTAGATTAAATAAAACATGTGTGAAATCTGAAATGCTTATGCAGTGGAAAACTAAACTGGATTAATGGTTAGTATGTCAAACAATTCTTGGAGAACTAAAGGGGATTCTGATTGTGTATACTCCATTGGATCTTGTTTCTTATGGTTATCTCGACAAGTTGCAACTTAGGTTTCTGATTACAAGAAAAAATGTGTTAAATGATCTTGTAGCCTGATGCAAGTCTCGATGCTTTGCCGGATATTGTCTTTGAACAAAGAAAAATATCTTTATCATAAAAAATCATAAGCATGTCTCAGAAATTTGTCTTTGTTGGCAAAGTGGGTAGTCACATAGTTTGTCACACTATCGTGTCTCAATTCTAGCATTGACAAATTGGATAATATCCATATGAACATAAGGTCAATGTTTTGTGCAACGTAAACCCTTTGTAGCATGCCATTGTAAGCCTATGATTCTAGAAAGTTACCATGCTTTATTCTTTTGGCCCTGAACTTTAGTCAAAGCTCTTTGTGGGCAAGATTCTTATTGGACGAACTAAAAAAAAAAGGTTTCTAATTTTAAGAATTTCTCGTAGAGCATCTTAACCTTGAAAAAATTTTCGTAGAACGTCTTTTTTTTCGTAAATGATCATTTTGCCCTTAGCTCTTGTTGGACCTATTGCCGCCTCCGTCCTGCATTGTCGTCTTACTTTGCCTTTGTGTTGCCCTTGCATTGTGGCCTTTGCTTGAGGGTCATTATTGCCTTTGCAGCCTCGTCGACCCTTATCAGACCCATTTCTACACACATGAAGGCGATAATATATTTGACGAGGGCTAATGGGGTCCGTGGAGGTGGCCCTTGTGCCTTCTCCTGAGAAGGCTACAAGCGAGCATGCTGAGGGTCGGTAGGCAGGGCAGATAGGGGTGATCAGGCTCGGGTTTAGGGTTACGAGTGGTGATGGTGGGCCCTCGCATGAGGGTTGCAGGCGACGACGGGCCCTTACGTGAGGGGTACAAGCGATGGACTCTCACATGAGGGCTACGAGCAGTGGCACCTCTCGCATTCCCCTCCTTCCTCGTGTAGTGGCAGGGTTACTGGAGGTGGTGGCAGCCCTCGTGTGAGGGCTGTGAGTGGCGATTCAGAACGGAGATGATAGTGGGTCCAACGGAGGTAGGGGTAAAATGCTTTTTTCACGTTACCAAAGGTAATCTGCTGAATTTTTCAAGTTGGAGTGCTTTACAAAATTTTTGCCTTATTCTTATTCTCATTTTTGCTGTATGGTCTCGTTGTTGGCGTCATACTTTTCTGTCGGGTTGGTCAATCTAGCGCAGCGCAAACTAAGAAACACGAGCTGCTATATTTGGCATTTTTAATTATGCTCGTTTATTCATATTGAACATGCTCACAAGGCTTATCGTCTATTTGAATTTATTGTGGTTGGCATGCTTTATATCAAGAAAGATTCTTCTATTCAATTTTCTGATATGTATATTAATTTTATTTTAATCATACAAAGGGTAAGTATCGAAAACACAAGTAGTAATTTGCTTATAACGCTTGACTGCCTCTGGGTTTCTTCTTACACAAGCAGTCAATGCCTTTGACAAAATGGTTTTATTTACACAGTGATGCTTGCTTTTTTCCTTGTTTTGAGTATTTCTTTGTGTTGATTGAGATTCACTGATCTAGCCAAGCAGTAAATGCCTTTGACAAAATGGTTTTATTTACACAGTGATGCTTGCTTTTTCCTTGTTTTGAGTATTTCTTTGTGTTGATTGAGATTCCAGCTTCCTTTACTTATGAATACACTGATCTTAGCCAATTAAAATTCTTTACTTAAATCTTTGCAGATTCTTGATGTGGTTGCCAAGTGATCCGAGTCATTCATGCTGCATTTGAACATGGAAGTGCAAAAGGCCGCATTCTGATTTGCCATGATTACCTGCGGGTCTTTAGCAGAAGAAGTCTACTAGCAGCGAGCCTATTACGAGGAAATGGACTGAGACTTGCTAAATCAAGAAATGCAAGATTTCTTTCTTTCATTGATTTGGAAATAGCCGAAGCAGCGAATCCACGCGAGGAATGTATGGTTAGATCTGACTCGGTCGGATCGCTTTTGGTCATTAGGCTCGCGCTGGACTCTCCAACCGGTCCGGTTCGATCTCGGCGGTCCGGCAATATCCTTTTTATAAACCACGATGTCGCTTAGTGAAAAGGGTTGGTTGGGGCGCGATGGCGAAGAGGGCGGACGGCGATTCCTCGACGGTGAAGGAGGCTCGGCCGCCGGTGATCGTGTGGAACAAGGAAAGGGAGAGATTTGAGACGGAGGACAAAGAAGCCTTCCTCCAATACCACCTCAGAGACGTTGGCCTCGTGGCGGCGGCCGCGAACAGCAGCGACAATCCCGAGCAGGAGAAGAGGAAGGGGGCGGCGGTGGTGATGGACATGGTGCATACCTACGTGCCGAGGAGCAAGCGGGGGATGGGCCTCGCCGCCCTCCTCTGTGACGCCGCCTTCGCTCACGCCCAGTGCCACTCCATGCTCGTCATCCCCACGTGCTCCTATATCTCCGTAATCCTCCACCCTACTTTCTGCCCATTTTAATCACTTTACTCTATTAATAGCATGCGCCAAAGAAGGATTTCTTTTCCTTGTAGTAATCCGATAACCATGCACAAGGATCTGTATGTAGAATCTTTTGTTTTCGAGGAGAACAAGAATTGTTCTCGTTGCAGATACTGATTTCCTTGTGGTTCTTGTGGCAGGATACTTATCTTCCTCGAAACCCTGCGTGGAATTTTCTGGTATGCAATGGGGAGCCAAAATCAAGCATGTAACGTAAAGATCTGCTAAGGAGCATAGAAGCCTGTGAAGAAGTAATAGTTCTTCCTTTTGTTTTGTTGAGTTTTCTGCATTACCTTCTATAGTTACTATGTGATGGAATTATCTTTAGTTTGTGTGGGAAAATAATTTGTGTGAATGCATGCATACAAGTAGTCTGCAATTTCTTCTTATTTTTCTTGTGTCATTTTTGCATGAATAAATCATCTTGATATAATGGTGAGTGACTTAGTGGCTGCTGCTCCACGTAATGGTGGATGCCTGAACCCTGATAGGAGATGAACCCACATTTTACAGTACCTGTTTTGACCATGGAGTGCAAAGCCCAGAATATAACTTGTTTGTCATGCCATATAAAGCAACTCAAGTAGGATAACTATATAAAATAATTGGAAGGAAAGGATTGAAAACATAATTGTTAATGAAAACACAATTCTTTTACAAAATTTATTCCACTACTGAATCCATAAAAATCTATGCTGCACCCATAGCTCCCAAAATAAAAGGGCATAACATACTTTTGTGTGCAAGTACAACAACAGTATCAGCATAATCAAACTAAGTAGATAGATTATAGTTTATTGGCATTAGAAATGAGCTATTTTACAATGATCTTAGAGCTGTAGCAAGAGAGGATGCAGGGCATCTCAAGGCAGAGATATCCACAAGGAGAGATGAGCCCCATGCAATCACTAGACTAAAGAGCAGGCCACACTGAATTCACAATAATGAATAGCAAAAGACATGTTGTGTTTGCAATTGAGATAATTTTTTTTTCTTTATTTCAGTTTATATGCATCAGTATATGTGATTGTCTACCACAGTTACACAATGCAGTGGCAGAGTTGCCGGCAAACTGCTTTTTTTAGAACATTCATATGTTATTAACAATAATGCTCAATAAAAATAACTACTTACCTTACCAACATCATTGTTGAGATGGCTTAACAAGAAAACTTAGGGAATAAAACCTTCTATAGACAGTAGTACCTCTTCAAATGGAACAAATACAAAGGGTGTCAAACCCCTGCTGTGTGAAATAGCAGGCACATCTGGATCATGTGTCTCATTTTCTTCCCAACCTTCCACAATTCTAAGCATGTAATCTCCATGATCATTGACCTCACTTTTTAGCCGCGCTGCTTCTTTTGGAGCCAGTCATTTGATTATCTGCAAAATTAAGCTAAATATAATCGAAGCTGTCTTTATAAGCAGTTTCCTTTGGAGCCATTACTGTCATTTGATTGTATGCAAAGTTACAATCTACTATATCACATGTGTGTCAAAAAGATGCAGAAAAATATCATACACAAGTGGAAGGACAAAAAGCTGCAGAAAAATGCCATGCCACATGAACAGGACGAAAACTATAGAAATGTATAAATGCTGCATGGGCAGGACAAAAAAGCTGCTGAATAATATCATACCACATGGACAGGATTTGTCACTTCCCACTCTGCAACCCCTGTACGAATGTAGGTGTTTCAGCTAACATAGAGACCTGATAAGATGAGGAACTTGAAATTTTATGATCCCCAGAAGAGATGTCTAAAAACATATATGAACCCAGAAGATTAAATAATGATAGAATCATGAAAAAGAAAGTTGATAAATGGGTTCTTGAAATTTGCAAGCAAGGACATGAAAATGTTCTTCAGTAAAAAAGGTTCCTTTTCAGGAATCTGCTGCACCTAAGAGCCCTTCATGATAAGGTCTGGTCTATTAAGTGGGCCAGCTTGACACCATAAAAACATGAAAAAGAAGGAAAGTAGTCCAGATATAAATTAGTGTTTGGCTTTAATAAAGTGATATAAAAAGGTGGAAAGCTCTCCTACTTATGCAGCACAACAAATCCATGAATGACCAATAAGTACCATCGTTTCGAATTCTTGGTCTCTGAATCCACATTTTCCTCCAAGAACCATCATACAAGGACTGGACAATTCTGTAATTTGCCTCCGCTCCAGAACTCTTCATAAGCAGGGGGGACTTGTAAGCATTAGTCATTACAGTGATGAGCAAAAATGACCATGAATTGTTTCTGAAGATTTTATGTACCTGCCAAATTCTAAGGCATGCATCGCGCCACAAATTAGGATTGCAAATAGTATATCGCCATTTGCGACATACACATGCAGCCCTCCCCATCGCGTACGGGCTCATCCGTGCAAAAACCTGTGTTGAACAAACATAGGTGATTAACAAGCATAGATGATGAAAATAATAGAATATAAGAATAATTATTGAAGAAGTTTTATTGAAAAAGTTAAAAAGCTTAAATACGCTGTCCCTCTTCAAGGATTTCCCTCAACAGAATAGAGGATTTCCTCAACAGAATAGAAAGATTTTCTCATATAGTTGGGGAAATCTTATCAGTAGAAAAACTATCATATCCGTTCATCAAATCCAAGACCAAGTAAAATAAAAAGTATAGAAGAAGATTTTTTCGGTTAATGCATTCCATGAAGGATCACACAATATGATATGGTACTTTTGATGCATTGATAAGTTAATAAATCATCTCTAACTCGCCTGCCTCTTAACTCTGGAAATGGTTGTTAGATATTGTTGTATCCATCTCATAATCCGCCTATCCAGTATGCTAATGTTATCCAGAGAGAAGCACAAACTACCAAACCAATGCAGCATATCTTACTACATGTGCAATTTGCCCAATTTAGCTAAGAGCAATTCATCCGGCAAACATTGGTGTATTAGAGCTGGATCACTGAAAGGTTTACTGCTGATGCTTCCAAAGGGAGCAACAGGCCGGACCCTATTCCCATAAAGATCTGAATAGAGAACCAAAACAACTGACCAATTAGTACCACTAAAATCCTATAGCACTCACATTATTTAGTGAATTCCAAAGATCATGTAAAGAAAAATACAAAACCAAACTACAGCTGAAGATAACATTTAACAAACAACTAGGAAGTAGCAAATCGGGGTTAAGAATAAACTACAGCTGAACTTACTTAACCAAGGTCTCTCTGTTCCGATAAATTGCACAGTTCCCAGACGAGAGAATGGGCCAAGTTCTGATGGAACTGGGATGGAGATGTCTGCCAAAATGCATTATAAATTCAGTGTCGATGTAGCGAAAAATGACTCGTATAAAAAAGTTGTGCAACATTTTGTAGACATATGATAAAGATTAATGTGAATGGAAAAACAACAGCAGTAACATTTTGTAGATCCTTTTTTGCCACTGAGCTGTGTGTAGAATGATATCCTTAGCAAACCTAAGTGCAACTTCATCGTTAATCCTAATCGACTTAACTTGTGGAATCTCTAGATCTCCTTTGAATATGTTCATGTCATCTTAAGCATCTATCTATCTTCTCATTTTATCGTCTATCGAAGCTACACTTAATTGCTTATGATTAAAAACACTTGTTAATATATCTTTTCTAATAACCTCATGCATTAACCTAAAAATTCACATCTCAACTATGTCAGCTTCTTGTACATATTGTTTCCTAATTTCCCAAGATCCATTAATCATACAACCACTTAAATGATCTACTGATAAAATCATTAGAAAACTCAATATGTACATGATTATGTGCAAGGAAGTTCTGCTCATAATTAATCACAAGAAAATTTAACAGTGAAAGAAATCTTTAAAATAGAAGCACAACTACTGAGCACAAAAAACACTTTGCGAAATTTGTCATCATGCTTTTGTCCAATGCAGCGGTAAAGGAAAAATTACTATATGGTCGTTCGTACCAAATACAAATATACTAGCATATGTTCAGAACCCTTATTGCTTGGACCCTGTTATATAACACAAGACTTGTCAAGGGGATCAAGTGTTGGATCATGATGATTGACATCCATGTTACAGAGAAACCATGGCATATCCTCCGCTGGAAAACATTTTTGAAACAGTTTCACCAACAACTAATTGATGCTCGATTCTACATTTGTTTGCCAGTCAGATGATTTAAATCAGATATGCTAAATATACTGTTCATGATTGATTCTGGTATTGTAACTCCAGTCATAAAGCAATGATACCCATGCAAATAATATGATGCACTAGTTTTGCTTTCTTCCTTTTATAATCCCTTTTTGTCAGAAACCCGAAGAATAATACTTCTGTCACTCTGCTTGCACTTGCATCCAATGATTAATGCTGCTAAATACAAGCATCGAACATTTTGAGGGTCTTGTTTAGATCCTAAACATCCTGATAATGTCTCCTAGATAGGGATCAGCTACTGTATGAATGAAAACATGAACCTCTTATACTAGTGAAGAAACCAACAACTACCTAAACTATCCATGCTGATAATTAATTCAGTCAGTGATTTAAAAAGGCACTCGGGCGAGGCGAGACGAGGCCCGAGCGCCTCGCTAATCTCCCAGGTGACGTGCTTCAAACAGGCGTCGCCTGGGCGCTCGTCCGAGCCCAGGCGTTGGGCGCTTCGGGCGAGCGCCTGGGTTAACCAAGGCGACCGAACCAGGATTTTAGGTCTGGTTCGATCTATGATGGTTAGTTGGTTCAATCGAATCAACTAAAACCGATATAAGTGACAACCGAACTCTAACCCTCGCCGCTGTCGATCCCGATCCCGATCCTGCTGCTCGCCGCTGTCGCTGCTCGCAAACGCTACCGCTATCGCCGCTCGCCCTGTCACTGCTCGCAAACGCTGCCGCTGTTGTCGCTCGCGCCTCCCGCTGCTCGCCGCTGCCGCTCCCGCTGCTGCCGCCACTCGTCGCTCCCGCTTCCTCTTTTCTCAGTCAGCAGGCTCAGCACCCCTTTACACTTCCTTTAACAGTATACGTATACTGTATACTGTTAATATTATTAAGTTTATTTGAAATGATTAATTTTCAATACTGTTAATAGATTAATAATATATTATTTTAATTTTAATACTGTTAATTTTTATTTATTTGAAATTATTGCTAGGTTTCAACATAAATGACAAGTGTACAGAGTAACTCAATAGAGTCTCCAATGGTATCAAAAAAAGATTCTGCATGAAAGTATAATTATATTATATATTTTTATATTTTAACGTCTCGTTTCACTCGGACGAGCACCTGGACGAGCGCCTAGCGCCTTAGGCGTTTTTGGACCTTGGCGCCTAGCACTTTTTAAATCACTGAATTCAGTATAAAGATAACACAAATATAGAAAATATTCTTGTATACTATTCAGAATGCCTTCTATTTCATTCCATTTTTTCCCTTCATACAAGCACGCGATGATATACACATTTTAAAAACATACCTCCTAGAAGGTGCCTCTATTTCTTAAATTGATTTTTCCTTTTGAGAGGCTCATTGGTGTTTGCCCAAGCTGAAATTCTTACTTTTCCAATAAGCTGATAGTCAAGATGCAGTGCCTGTACCTGATTGGGCACTAATTACTAAAACAATCATCACAAAAGGTAGAGTTTAGTAGAATTTAAAAGCAGACTAAACATTTTAACACTTTGGTTTTTCTTTGTGTGATCCAAGACATGGCTGAACACACAAAAAATTTTGAAGCTCTAGTGTGAATTATATAAGTAGCAACATTTATTTGTTTAGGCAAAATTCATACGAACAAGGAAGTCTAGAGCAGTTTAGGTAGATCCCTGGATTATCCAGAAGGTTGAGTTCATTGCTAGGAAGAAGATTACTAAGAAAAAGCAACTCAAAACTTAAAACCACCAAAGGCACTACCTGGCTGGAATCAGTGATGTGATCTTGTACTCTATGTGGCCTTGCATTAAGGTCAAACAATGTAGGACCAAGCCTGTTACGATTTATGTCTAGCTTGGAGATGGAAACGGGAGGCATCCTGCAGCGGTCCATCTTCTCTCTAATGTTTTCAAGAAATTGTTTTTTATGAAGTACCATATTATTCTCCAACCTATCTTCGGTGTTGTCATGATGCTGCAGCATGAGATCTTCGAAGTGACCAGGTTCATCTTCCAAAAACTACATTGAACAAATTTCATGTTAATTAGCATACATGGGTGCTGTTTATTTTTGTATTATTTGGGGACACTTTACCTCAATTTTCTGCCTTAACAAGAGATATCGCTCATTGGATCTTTTGCCTCCCACATGCACAATTACATCACATTCCATGCAAAGTGAAGATCCATCTATTACACAGAAAAAGAAAGCTACCAGAAAAGTTGATGAATTGATTAGTATAGAGCATCACATAACATGTACTCGTAAATCTGAAAGAGAGTAGCACTTTAAGGAGCAACACAAAAAGACAGTTTGTTGCCTTTTTCTGCCCCATCTATATATAGATACATACAATATCAACCTGTTTGCATTTCAAAATTTTGGACTAAGATGCTGACGTTATTATAATCAATGTTTTGGTACTTTAAAAAATTATGAAAAAACACAAAATATTTATTTTTTTCATGTTTTTCTATTTCTAGAAATATTGTCTTTGGATTGTTTCTGTGCGATATAGGTGACTAGGGTATGAGTCACAGAAACAATTCATCCCCTCGTAGAACAGACTGAATACAATAGCCCTCACCATACATTAGCCCTCACCATCCATTTTTATTGTTTGGTGATCATCACTTTCTATCCAATTCTCAATCTGATTTTTCCTTTCCATCTCCTTGGTTAGTAGAAAGATTAAGATGGATAAAAAATTATGTTTTCAACTTTCCACTATTAATTTATATTTTTCTATTTTTGAAATTTCAGAAGTAGAGATGTCTACTTCTGAAATTTTGTGAGGTTTTTCAATAATGAAAAAAAAAGTTGTCAAACATGCCTTTTATTAGGTAGTTTCCATCAAGCAGGATAAAGTGCTTGCTTGTACTATGTGATTATTTGATAAGGTAACAACGAATTATAAATCGAATTAATACAACAAAGAGAAATCTCACAATGCAATAAAATACACTAAACAGGAAAATGCTTTTTTATTCTCAAGAAAATCAGCATCGGAAAATTTTTCAAATGCTTTCTGGAAACAATTGCGAAACATGTTTTCCATAAACACTCACTATAAACACCTTCTAGGATGCTGAAATCTATAACAATGGATTTCATCAGGTAGGAAGAAATGCTTGGTAGAACTATGTAATTAGCTTGATAAGAAAAGTCAGTTTGTAAATTAATACTAAGAGAAATTTGAAAACATGACAAAGTATATAATGAAAATGGCTAAACCTGGTGATTTCTCACATATGTCACATTGACCAACAGCGCTTGGTTCTGCAATCTGTACCCTTATGTGTCTGCTAGCCAACTTATTACAAGTATGAACCTACACCATTATTAGAATCTATTTCTTCATGAAACAATGATATCTAGAAACAACAAAACAGTGAAATTTAAAAACAAAATAGTTCACATTCCTCTCAAGTTTCTCAATGATGACATGGTCGATGTTTCCAAAAGATATGGAGTGTGCAGACCAAACAGAAGAGTGTGAACAGCTGACAAAACACTTATTCAGACAGAAATAAAAAATTCAGAATAATATGTCCTGCAACGATATAAACATATACATCCAAATCCATGAAACCAATGAATATATTTGGTAATGTAATGATAAAAGGATAGTAATAGAGATGTCTATATATTAGGCTAACCAAGTAGAAGGACCACACTTCTAACAAATAAAGTACATTGAGGAGATAGGAGAAAACAGATTGAATAGTTATTAGGCTATCTATTCATGTCGCACTGATTTGCGGTAACAGTTATCAAGTTCAACTCTTATCTAAACTTACTTTATCAGAAAGTGGAATGCCAATTTTAGTATGTCTATGTGAAGTTGACTGTCAGTTTATGGTCCAATCAAGCAATTGTTTTATTTTTTTAATCAATAAATTACTCCCATCCAGCATTCATCTCTTTTGCAGTCTTGAGAATATTGGCATCAATGGAAAGTACTTTCAAGTTTCATTGCAAGGAAAACCCTCTGAAAAACATTTATCAAACTTGGTAGATGGTCATCAGTGGCAGTGTGAATGAGACAAACTATGGTATTGGGTTTAGGTGATAAATAATTTCAGCTACTCGTAAATGGTTAAACATTTGGAAAAAAGTTAAACCTGAGCAAAAGCTTGCTCCCTCTCTCAGATAGCACACTTGTGTTGGTGCTTACTGATCACAGTAAGCTTTTAACCAAGGTGGCTACTCACCCTCTGACTTTCTTTGTACACTACCTTCTCTGTTACTGGAGCCATTCACAAACCTTCCATCGATGTAGAGAGAAAGAGAGATGATGGGAGAGGCAAGTGACAGCAAACTAATAGAGAGCATGTACAGGTGCTCGGACGTAGGTATTTATAGACTGTAGTCTCACCTCCTTGCCCTTCAATTCTAGAGTTACTACAATAATGCCCTTTTCTTTTCTCCCTTTACTCTTCCATGGATGGCATTCCATGAAACAACAGCTGTTATGACAATTTTGAAGAAGTTTTATCTTTATGTCATATACCACTACAGCATATTATCATCATCAATCAATCATCACATAATAGAGATAACAATCTGTCGACCTTCATCAATAGCTTCTATTTTTAAACCATGAAGAATGGTTAAGAACGGGTTGCTGGTAGTAGTAATTGTTCTAAGAATGTATCTGGATTATCACACAGCAAGATGGTGCAGTTTCTCTACAACCTGGAATAGCTAACATATGATGAATAAGTTGTTTGTCACAAGGTATGCAATTTCGAATAATACCGCTCGGTACGGACGCTACGTACCGGTTCGT